TGACCGTCAGTGAAAATGAATGTAAATTTTAATTAATTATTTTTAAACTCCTCTCAAGCTTCAAATTTTTTTTTTTTTATATAATTAATTAATCATTTTTTAACTTCTCTCCAGCTTCATTTCTATGGGAGTAGGATACACCAATAGGACTCGTCTTATACTTTTAAATTCAATTAAATTGAGTAATGTCAGTGAATCTTTCTCTTAGCATGAAAAATCATTCAATGTCTTGTCCTGAAATCACTCGGTTCGAAAAAAATTACATGAAATTTGGGAGAAATGGAGCGTTTCCATCGTCAACAGCTCGTGAAATTGAATTTAATTTTTAATTCATCATTATCAAACTTCTCAGGCATGAAAACGAGAACAAGTTTCTCCCATTCGCTCTACAAATATTGAAAACTCAAAATTCATGTTATAAAATAAAAAATACAATGATTTAATCAATTATTAAATCCAATTAAATCGAGAGGTGCATTTGAATTGTAAAATCCCATGATTAAATTCACTCTGAATGTTTATGCTCCTCATGATTTGGAAAATTACATCGAAATGATATTAAACGTCATTTCCATCAAATTGACCCGATTAAATTAATTAATTCGATTAAATGCACTAATATTAACCAATCTTTCTGATAACGTGAAAAATCCTTCGATGTTTTATAGTGAGATCACTCGGTTTCAAAAAATTACATGAAATTTGGGACAAATGGACAGCGAAATTGAATTTAATTTTTAACTAATTTTCAAAAAATTGAGGATCAAAAATAAAAATTTTAATTTAAAAATTCAAGGCCTAGAAATAGCTCCAAATAAAATGATAAGAAAAAATAATCGCTGTATACAGATCTAGAGTGGGTTTTGTACAAACATAAAAAACTCAATGCAGAGTAAAACTTGGTTCAAGGTTCGCAGGCACAAAAAGTTAATTTTTAACCAATCATTTTTAAACTCCTCTAAAACGTCAAACCTAAACATGTTTCTCCCATTTGCTTTACACAAACTGAAAATTCATGCTAACAAAGAAAAAATAAAATAATTCAACCCCGTCAATGATAAAATCCAATTGAAAATTGAAAATTCATGTTATAAAATAACAAATACGATAATGTAATCACTTCAGTTATTAAATCCAATTAACTGGAGAGTTGCATTTGAATTGTAAAATTTCATATTTACTCGTTTGTCATTCAAATAATTTCATTTAATTCATACTGGCAAATATGTCGCTGATTAAATTCACTCTGAATGTTTATGCTCCTCATGATTTGGAAAATTGTACCAGGATGATATTAAACGTCGTTTCGCGTCGTCTCCGTTGCCTCCTTGTTTCGCCATTCAACTAAAACCCCATCTACCCCACCAACTCTCGTTATATTCCGACATAATCGCCCGGAACAAAGTTCTCAAACTCGGCGTTTGTGGTTTCATCAAAAAAGACTCCATCAGGGGTCCCTTTTCCCCTCGATATTAATTCAAAATTCTGCATTTTTGCTGATTTCCTAGTTGTTTAAAAATCTTTAAATACCCCAGCGACTGATGTAATTAATTTCTCTCCATTTTTCAACAATTGGAGCGCGAGTGGACGCCTTGCGTTGCAGCCATTCCACATTCTTCGCTTTATCCCGCAAAAATGGCCCCATAAAAACCTCGAATGGAAAATTTAATATCATTTCAAACTGCTGCGGGATATCAAGTGCACATTCTTGCATTTATTTCACCACTTGAAAATGTGATAAAATTTTTTCAAATATCCAACTGAAGCTAATTTCTACGGAATTGCAGTTGATTTTGTTTCTGAAGAATCATTTATTTCCTGCAGAATTCAGTGGTAATTGACAGTTTAATGTAATGTGGAGGTAAAATGCTCGGTAATTGCGATAATTTATGTGAATAGTGCCCTTAAAAGTTCTATTTGTCCAGAATTTTAATTTAATTTAACAATTCAATTAGTTTAGTTAGTTATTCATTTAATTTAACAATTTAAGTAATTGTTGACATTAGTATATTCGAAGAATATGAAAAAACTCACAGCGATGGAAATCGTGAGAGTACAACTCATAAATCACTCGGAATAATTCCTCACAATCTAAGATCGTCAATAAAATATTGGAGTAACTTCACTCGTCAATTCTCGAACAATTCTGAGAAACAATGGATGGAAATTAATTTATTTTTGGTTTAACTAATTTATTTTCTGAAGAACTCAATGAAGAAGAATTCAACGAATTCAATTAATTTTAACATGACAATAAAAAAATCTTCACAATTTTAATAATTTGTGAGGGTATTGTCCTAAGAATTCTCTTTATCCAGAATTTTTCAATTTCATTACCCATTAAAATTTCTATATCTGTTGAATTGAAGAAAAAAAAATATTCGAATCCAACTGAAAGTCAGTACGATGAAAATTCAAAGAAATTTAACCGCAACAATAGAATTCCAAATAGTCCAACTCATAAATAATAAAAAAAACTCACAAATAATTGAGGACAATTCCGAACACCCAATCCTCCCCTAAAAATTGTATCAATTCCCTCGACTTTCCCGCGTCATAAGCCCCCCCAAAAATTCTCCAATAATCCTAAATAAAAAATAGTATATTCAAGTGAGAGGAAGATAAGATCGTAGTGGCACAAGCGCAGTTTGAAAATCGTTATGTACCCACTTATTCGTGACGCCTAGGATCGTCCGCAGGCTCTTCAGCCCTACCACCAAACCTTCTATTTTTATCATTAATAAGAGAATCCTTCTGATCAAAAGAGCAACATTTCCACGCCGAAATACGGAGCTGAAAAAATGACAAGTAGCACGGCAGAGTTATGAGACAAATTTTACTTGTGCCAAAAAATATTTTTTTTTTTCAATTATCAGAAAAGGATTTTTTATGCTGAGCATGCAAAGATACGCCGCGATGGAAAATTTTTGCCGCAAAAATAGATTTAATCGTTCCACAAAAATTGTGTTCTCTGTGCGAAAAATGTCATTTCTAGCACTACTTCGGCGATTCGGTAATCACAGAAAAAAAAATTAGTTTATACTATTCTATTTTATTTTATTCTCTTTCCATTTCCGTCTTCACAATTAGATTAATTTAATTTGATCCATTCTTATTTTTATTATATATATATTTTTCCTTAATTCACATGTTACAACATTGATTGAAGAGGAATTATGTTATAGATCAATAAAAAGTGTTTTTTTGTGATCAAAACAAATACACAAAACAAAAGTCATTCAAAGCTTCATTCCGTTAATATACAAATTTCTTCATGTATTCCTGAAAGTTTTTAAAATGAGATGATCGGCTAGAAAATGGAGAGAATTTGTTTGTCTTCATGTCTGTGGAAAATTGGAATCACGGTTTTTTCTCCGAATATGAGTGGGATATGAATATTTTGGAATTTTATGATCTAATTTTAACGAGAAGAAATAAAAAAAATCCAAAAAAACGTAGGCGGGGAGAAATTTTAAAAAAATGTGTCAGTGTCTCCGGAGAGTTTTAAAATCGACATAATTTTTTGAATAATGGAAGAATTTCCATAAATTGGATTTTTGTCCTTGTCTTTCGATAGAATAAATAGAATAAATGACAAAAATTAAGAATTGGAGACGAAAAATGTTATGCGATTATTATTATGTAATAATAATGTAATAATAATAATAATATGATAGCAATCTCGTCACTTAAATACAAAATATTTATTTAATAAATATTATTGAATTATTTAATAAATATTTATATTTTTCCTCTATGTCAGATATTTTCATCCTGAAAATGCACCATCCCGTGTGAATTATCCGCCTCTCGAAACATTTCACTGTTATCGAAAGCAGAGCAAATCTTCATGTTTGAGACTTTCAAATTCGAACCAAAAAAAGTATTTTTTTTTACAAATTTCAACTTGCTATTTTGTTGGCCCAAACAAGACTTGTTTGAGTACAAATGAGCGTCCACTTGAACTTGTCGTTGTCATGCAAGACAACAATTTCTCTCGCGCGCAGTTATTGAAGTGGAGGATCGATCGTAGAAAACGTTGGAAACTGGGCGTAGGTGGGTTTTATCTGCCCAGAATGATGGGGATGTTGGTTGATTCGGTACCTGTAGATTCCCCGGGGCTATTTCACATTGTCTGTGGTATAAAAATCGATTCAACCCAGCATCGAACAATTCCACTGATTCAAAGAGGCATCGTCAACTTGTCAAATAAACTCCCCTAAACTTTATCGAAAAACAAGCTTCATCCGTTCACCTGGATGAGGGAGGAGAGTTTAAATAAAAGTGATGATACTTCAACACTTTTATTTTCTTCCTTCGCCCCCCCCCCCCCCCCCCCCCCCCCCCCCCCCCCCCCCCCCCCCCCCCCCCCCCCCCCCCCCCCCCCCCCCCCCCCCCCCCCCCCCCCCCCCCCCCCCCCCCCCCCCCCCCCCCCCCCCCCCCCCCCCCCCCCCCCCCCCCCCCCCCCCCCCCCCCCCCCCCCCCCCCCCCCCCCCCCCCCCCCCCCCCCCCCCCCCCCCCCCCCCCCCCCCCCCCCCCCCCCCCCCCCCCCCCCCCCCCCCCCCCCCCCCCCCCCCCCCCCCCCCCCCCCCCCCCCCCCCCCCCCCCCCCCCCCCCCCCCCCCCCCCCCCCCCCCCCCCCCCCCCCCCCCCCCCCCCCCCCCCCCCCCCCCCCCCCCCCCCCCCCCCCCCCCCCCCCCCCCCCCCCCCCCCCCCCCCCCCCCCCCCCCCCCCCCCCCCCCCCCCCCCCCCCCCCCCCCCCCCCCCCCCCCCCCCCCCCCCCCCCCCCCCCCCCCCCCCCCCCCCCCCCCCCCCCCCCCCCCCCCCCCCCCCCCCCCCCCCCCCCCCCCCCCCCCCCCCCCCCCCCCCCNTTTTTTTTTTTCCCTCCCCCCCCCCCCCCCAGCTCTCCCCCAGAAAGTTCCATTGAATGTACATTATAAGCGACGAGTAAAGTTAGTTTTCGTTTCTCTTTGTCACGCATATTCAAATGATAATGCGCAGAAGCAAATTGTTGAACGCCTGCGCAAGGAAGTGGAGGTCTACAAGGCGGAGAATGCGAATGGTGGTAAAGTTTCACTGGCTGCTTTACTTGGGTTAAACAACAACAATCATATAACAACGTACAGCGATAAGAGGGATGAGGTCAAGGTGCAGTCCAATGGTATTGATGTTAGAAGATCTTCGAGGGATAATTATGAGGATTTTGGAAGGAATGGGAGTGTTTCCGGTCGACGGAATTTATGTGCCAAGTGAGTAACTAAGTTTTGGGGGAGAATTAAATTTAAGTTTTTGGGGGGGAGAAGTTGGATGCAGACGGTGGAGTTGATGCAGTGAACGAAATACTTGTCAATTATGATTGAAACTTGCAGGGGAAGGGATTTGGAGAATTGGGGATTTGGATGAGTCATTTACGAGTGACGGGTGCTTTTGGATAATTACTCTTGAAATTTTTAGGGGAAACACTGAAGTCTTTGATGTTGTCGGTGATCAATTCGTTAATTTATGAAATATTTTAGGACATTTTTATTTTCAAGCTGTCCAATCATTTTGGAATTCAATTAGATGTTATCCCCAGTTTATAGAATAAAATTTGAGATTAAATAAGCTATTATACAATTATCGTTTGGTGGAATTCTTTGGGAATGACGAAAGCTGTTGGATAATTACTCTTGAAATTTCGAGGGAAAATAGTGAAATTTTTAAGGTTGTCATTGCTAAATTCGTTAATTCGTGAAATATTTTATGAAATTCCTATGTTAAAGGTTATAGAAAATGTAAATCATGGAAAATTTTGAAATATCGGACGACTGTTTGCCTGCATTTCCAATTTTAAAATAAATTTTAAAATTGAATGTCTTTACACAATTATTATTGAAATAATTGACAAATACTCTTGAGATGTCAAATCCAAATAATTAAAATATTGAATGTAATTGGGCTCATTTTTTTTCGCTAGAACATTTCTTTCACCTCACGAAACTAAAAAACGAATAAAAAGTTCTTCTCAACTAATAGATTTGACGTCAGTTTTAGAAATTCTGACGTAAAATGGACACTTGATTTTTTTGAAACCATAAGAACTGATTAAATTATGCATGTAATGAGTCCTTATAATTAATCAAGAGAATTTGACTCAATTGATGCATTCGAAACCGAGTAATAAATATTAAAAAGCAAAACATTAGTGTTAATTTAGTCACATGGAGTAAAAAAACTCAAGAATTGAATTTTTTGCGACACTTTTACGTCAGTTATCGTGATTAGCTCGTGATCGATTCGTGACATTGTTCGAAATCTCGATTTTTTAGAGATCGTTCAAGCTCTGTTGAGACTCTATCAGCAGACGAGGACATTATCGAAGTCTCGAACGATGAAAATTCAACGGAGAGACAGTCGGAAACCTCGGAGATTGAGACCCCTGTGACGGAGGACTACCAATCAAATGTGAAACAGGTAAACTTCCTGGGTAATCTCGGGCTCATCACGGCCAGCCAACTCCACGAATTGCAGAACAAGAAAGCAGAGAGGAAGCGAAGAAGCACTGCCAATCCACAGTTCGTGTACCCGAGCTGGGATCTACCATCGGTAATTAATTATCACCTCTTTTGATCGAATCATACGAGGAGAGTTTCCTCCGTTATTAATACCAATCCGGCTTCTATAATCAAAGATTATTACCTTATTAGAAAAAAAATTAGATTTTCATTGAGATTTGACTACTCATTTTTAGGAGAGTTACATTTAATTCAATTTAGGGGCACAAAGATTAAGGAATTTTAGATTTCACTAAATATTCTATGAAATCTTAAATTTTTGAGCACCAGGAGACGAGAAGTTGCCAATTTACTTGGATTTCCAAACAAAACATGAATTGTCAGTACCAAATCGCACTGTTTCTTTGATTAGTGGAAAGTTTAAAAAGAGATTTTACTGAATTTTGCGGGAAAATCAACAAAATGTAACGAAGTTATCAGAGAATAATTGATAATTGTGAAGCACTTGTGGTATTTTTACTGAAAATTCAGTGAAATTTCAAATTTTTTAGCACCAGGAAGACGAGAATTCCCCGATTTACTTAAATTTTCAATCAATTGAACATTAATGAATATATTTACCTGAAGTTTCCTCATTTTTATCAATTTTCATGCCATAATTAAACTGAAATTGGCCTCATTTTCCCATCAAGTTTTGAATTTCAAGGGTTTTTAATAGAGATTATTTAAATTTCAAATCAAAATTCATGATCAATTATCGACATTGTTAACTAACTAATCGTCAATCATACTTCATCATCTCAACTTGATGAATTTAATTTCCAACAGATACTGGAAATATCAACCAAAAAAATTTAACTGTGTTCGCAACCTCAATGTGAGTTTTTCTCTATTCAGAAACGAAAAAGGCACGCGTACCTCCAATCCATGGGAACAGCTCCGCAAACTAGACAGACAACAGCGCGACTGAATGGCCCCTCGCCTCCGCCAACGAAAGCCCCACCGAAATCAACATCTCCACTGACCAAAACAATCTCGAAGAGTCTGATTCCCCAGCAAAAATCAACAGTTCGGCCGAATATCCTGAGGACCATGCAGGAAGCGCGAGCATTCCAGAATCGTTCGAAACTCGATAACGGGACGAGCCAGAGGGAGGCCAAAGTAGTTGAGCCCAAGTCTGTGCATATTCCAGGATTGCCAGCTAGTTTGACTATTGAGAGGATTGAGAATGATAGTGCTGTTTGCATCAATTGCAGAAATCCAGGTAAAATAATTTTCATTTTTAATTCGTTCAGCATTTTTTTATCATCTTCAAACGGAAAACAATGCACCAGATATTTTGAATGATCATTAATTAATGGAGCTCCTCTGAATTTATGGATTTATCCTTTAAATTAAAAATTAAAAATTATCCATTATTAAATTTATATCATGCGAAAAATTTAAAAACAAAAATCATGGATAAAGATTACTTTTGCTTTTACATTCTCTTCTTGGTGATAATAGCAATAATGATAATTACAATAATACTAATAACGGTAGAGATTATTTACATAATCCCTATATAAACAAATTCATTACGTTTTAGAAAAAAGATTGTAATCTTCCAAAATTGCAATTGAATAATTATGTTATGAGAATCTTTATCAAAAATTGGTCTTTCTTTTCAAATAGATAAATTTAGACCTTAAAAATTTGGATCGTGAAATCATTTTTGAAATTTAACAATAGATGTTGAAGAGAATAATTAAGTAATTCAGAATAAAATATTGAAATAATTATCATCTTAAAAAATTCAAATATTTAATGTCAATTTTATTTCCAGGGACTTTAACAATCTGTGACACATGTTCAGCGAATTATCATATTTCCTGTCACACCATTTCACCTCCACCCCCACGTCAATGTCCAAAATGTGTGCAGAAGAAGAAAGAGGAGGAACGAAGTACTCCAGTAATCAAGAAAGACGAAGAGCTCGGTAAATATTTGAAAAAATATCTCAAAGCTTTCCCTCTCGAAATGAAATAAAACCTAGAATTTAAATTAAAAAAACAAGTCTCTGCGATGGGTTTATACATTAAGTTTATTATATTGAAAAAAATCTAGTGATATTGAACGGGAAAATGTCATTGCAGAGGAAAAAGAAAGAGAAAGATATGAGCAGCGTGAAAGAAACTCGGATCTGAGATTGCAGGTTTACGAGTTGGAAAAACGATCGCAGCTGCTCGGCCAATCACTTCAGGTTCGTCCTGTGGCCTGTTGTAGAAAATATCAGAGTCAAGTGAACCATCAGATGAATTAAGAAATTGATTTATTTATGTTGGAATGCTGATGTTTTAATTTCATTCGTAATTATCGTGAACAGATTTATTTTTCACCCAAGAACCTGCAAGCTCTTAAAAAACTTAAGTTTATTATTTCCTCATTGTCCAACTGTGAAGAATTTATTTAGAATTTCGTGCTCCGAGAGATGATAATTTTTTATTTATTTTTCACTGCACACAGGGCATGATCATCGATGTGTAAAAACGAGTTTATTTTTTGTGTCGAAATGCCAGAGAGGAATTAATCCCAAAAAACCCGTATTTTACACAGAAAAGAAATCATCAGAATTTCATTTCTCTACACAACTTTTTCTATAAAAATTTTCTACGTTTTTTCCCCTCGATTATTCTTCTTTCTCATAAAAAAATCAAGGAAAAATACTTGGAACATTCCGATTATTTTTTACAAAAAATATCTCAATAATTTGTGCAGAAAAATCAAATTCTATTGATTTTTCCATAAAATATTCTCCATTGACCATTTCAATGGAAAAAAAAGTGCAGATAAACTCAACAATCCATTCTCCGTCGCTGACTGAATCCCCCCAATTCCTCCGGCATAACGTTGAAAAAAAAACTCCCAAAAAAGCTCAATACTCCTCAATAAAAATCAAATTAATCAATTTATAACTCCCCCAGCTGCAGCATCGTATGCGCCAGGAGTTGCTGGGAAAGCAGGAGAAGACCCAGAAATCAATAAAGCGCCTCGTGGACTTCATAAAAGTGATGCAACAGCCCAACGACAAGTCCCATCCAGCACAATCACCCAGCTTCCAACCTCCACCCTCCTCATCCCCATTACTCCAGGTCCCCTCGCCCCCTCCAACCCCAACACCCCGATGCCCCCCCTCGCCATCGCCTCCCACGTCACCTACACCCCCCTCGGCATCAACACCTTCTCCAATCATCACCAGGGCATCACCTACATCAAATCCAACTCCACAGCCTCCCACTCACCTCACACAACTGAACAACAGTACCTCATTGTCAAGAAGCTGCCAGCCCCCGAGACTCAGCAGATCTTACCAAAGAATATCCCCAAAACCGTTGGAGATGTCGATGCAGAGCACTCAAATCTCGCTCAATCATCACCCCTGCTCTTCGATAAGCTCTCCCGAGGCACCAAGAAGCCCGTCCCAGGACTCAATCCAATTAATTCATCCTCAAACGACGTGGAATCGCCGGGCATCCCCGAAAAACCAAATCCACCAGCAACACGTGACAAATCAGATGCCAATTATCCCTTCACCCCCAAGAATTCACCAAATGGAACAGACTCAGCTGCCGAATCATGTGTCCGTGTTAACGCAGAGTCAGACCCACCGATTGCAGTCATCACCTTCACCCCATCGTGCAGACAATCAGAGTCATCAGACGCCTCAACTGACACCTCGAAATCAAGTGATCTACACAACTCAGTGCTCACAGGCAATCACCAGTCCGATATCGTCGCCAATTGTTCTGATGAATCACCGAGGCACGATGTACGTAGACAGGACAGTGTCGCTGACAGACTCGCAAGAAGACTCTCCGAGGATCGAGCAGC